TCACAAAATCACCAAGTTCCACTGGCATGACTCAGGGTAAAGTCTTCCCTTCTTTGCTTCTCAGAGCTCTAGATTTACTACCATGAGCCAGCAAACCTGGCAGAAACCTTGATATCTGTATCCAAGATTTTATTTCTCAAATATAGAAGATAATACAGTTTGAAATATGAAATTTTAAATGAGCCTGTGTCTCTCCTATTTGACATTTTCATAATCTTATCTATTATAAAGCAATTACCAATAATATAAAAAATGACTTGTGTGCATGTATAAATATAAAAGAATACATATATACTCAGGACACTATTACATCCGGAGCAATCATGATTTCTTGAATTTTGTCATTATTACCAAACTTCCCCAGCATACTCATATTTGCTATGGGTGCTGCCTACTCAGAGTCATCCATCTCCAGAGCAGCCTGTATAGCAATATGACATTGCCATAGGGCTTCACTCTTCTGTGAAGAACCAGCCCAGCTCATAGTGTGCAGCTCTGGAGTGGAGCCCTGCCCTGCCAGTCCTGGTGTTCCCACTCAGTGGTCAGGACTGAGCATAGGCACAATGGCACTTAGGCTGAGGTGGGCTTTCCTTGTTGATATTTTGAAAGACGGTTTATGGAGAACAACAGATCTTGAGTATGTGAGTGTACATGAGTGGGATAAACAGGGGCATGTGTGATACTTTCCTGAGCAAGATATCTCTGTGCTTGGAGTAGTCCAGTGTGAGATGCAGCTGGTGGAGTGTGAGGAGCCTTGTACAGCCTGCAGGGTTGAAGATTCTCATTCCAGCTTATAGATTCACCTTCAGCAGCTATAAAACATGGGAAATTGACAGTTGAGAAATGGGATTTATTTGAAAAGCTGCAGCAGTCAGTCAGCTAAGGCCATTGAAAAAGCATTGCTGGCTGGCCTTGATTCCTCTGTTCTCTTTCCTTATATACCAATCTATGAGTCCACAAGGTCAGAGGGTTACATGTATTCCATCTTTTTGCAGCACTGTCATTGTTTGGATTTTACAAGACCTTCTTATACATCTGTGTACTGTTACAAGGTTTCCATAACTAGCTATGTCTGGAACTGTGTCTGGATGACTTCTAAGAGAGTTCTACAGTGGATGGGATACTTGATAGGAAGCCATGGCTAAAACCCAGATTTCCAGGGCTGTAATTTCATCTTTGCTGACCCAGCTAAGAACCAGTGCTTCCTGGAGCTGAACTCTGTGACCTTCAAGGACATCACCGTGTATTACATACAAGACCCACTGAGAGTATATCAGTGTGGAACCAGAAAAAATATAAGTTCATGCACAGTGTGATTTTCTATTTATTTTCAAATTGCATTATTTAGCTTCATGTTTCTGGAGTGTATATTCTAGTTTAGGTAAATTACAATGATGAAAGTTTCATTGTAGATCAGTTTCAGATAACTTTATGAACTCTATGGTTGTGCTACCCTGATACTCAGAGCAGTGGTCCTTACATCTATAAGAGCATATGGTCAGAGACCTAAATTCCTATCTCTGGACACTCACTCCTGCAGGTGCCACTATGTCCTCATGGTGCCATATGTAGCAGACAAAACTTTAAAATACAACTATAGGACACTTTAAGCTGAAATTACAGCACAAACTGAAGCCATACACACAAGTCAGGTGCTTGAAATATGCATTCCAAAAATAATTCCTAAAAATTTAAAAAATACAAAATAAAAATATAAAGGGAGACTTATGGGAAGCCTCAATCCATTCCTAAAACATAAAAGTACTATTGGTATGCATAAGAAACTACATAAAAATAATATATAGGCAAGTGACAGACTGGTACAAACACTCAAGTTGTATATGTGAGACATGCATTGCTTCAAAGTTTAAAGAAAATATTTTATACTCTACAAAAGAAAGCAGAAATACAATCATAAAATGAGTGAAAAATCTCAACACCATTGTACCTCAAATATTGTACCTCAAAAATGAAGCAAAACCTCATCCAAAAAGAAAAAAGAAATGCTTTATTTAGGCTGGTACCCAGTAGAACATTTGCATTGGAATTTGCAGAGCTGTGCAACTAGGTTAGGTGGCAGGGGGGAGGTTTATAAAGGGAAAAACTGCAAATCTCAGGGAGGGAGCTTATGCCAACAGGCAGTTAATTATACTGAAATGTTTTAGCAACACAGCAGAGGAGGACAGGACAGCCTTGAGCAGCTTCTGCCTCCACCACCTTCCATACAGTGCTCAGAGCCCCCAAATCCTCAAACCCAGTTCTCACTCTCCCTTTGGTGATTATGAAAGAGTTTTTGGCACAGTTAGAAAACAGAATATAAAGTAAAGTGGCCTTTATTTTAAGCATGCGGAGAGAAACTCCATGACCGCTGGGGCCTGGATTCCTCTGCTGGACATGTGATGTAGGGGGCATACATATAGCTTTGGTCTGGGCTGGTGCCTAAAGCGGAATTACTGATGCACCAGCAGCCATTTGGAACTCATTTCACACCACAGGTAATTGGCCTAGGGTCGGGGAAATGACCTCGAGGTAAACATCCCTTGGTCCTGCCTCTCATTGCTATAGTGTCCTATCCAGGGAAAATCCTTTCAGATTATAGCAAGGTTTATCTCAGCTGAGAATTTGGAACATCAAGGTGTGCCATGAGATGCAGATAGAGTCACAGAGCCACAAGACACACCTGACAGACATGTTCCTTCAACCACCCTGTCACACACCTGACAGACTCAAGTCCATGTCTATATTAGTTTCTGAGTTCATGAATGGAAAAGCCCAATATCTGGAGCACACCAGACAAGCACTGTGTCCTTGCTGGAGAGAATGTGTCCGTAGAGCATGGGTCTCCCTCATGGAGATGAACTTTCACCAGGCAACTGCTGCCTTCATTTTGTGACCCTGAAACCACACCACCAAGGTCAGTTAGGCAAAGGTGATGATACTGAGTCACTTTTTGCAGTGTGTAGGACAAACTCTAGGATATACATAAGATCAAGAAAGGTTCCTGCCTGCAGAGGGGAGAGCAAAAGGGAACTTAACAGGGAACCTGCTTTGCACATCAATCAATAACAGTTTCCAAAAAAGGGACATGTTCCTCCAGGACCTGGATCACTGAATGATCTAAAATTAGAATCCTGTAAAGACTGCAATGCTTTACTTATCTTTCTTCTATAGGGGGCATTAATAACAGAATGTATTTAATATTAAGACCAATAAAGCACCTGTGCACTGTGGAGGTTGTCACAGAGGTAGCATGCCAGTTAACTGCAGGAATTTCATATGGAACCTGCTAGTGCCAGGTTTCCAATCTTTACTAAGGAGTGAATTAGGGACTGAGATAAGTCAGAAGTCTGTTGCTTAGAAACAGAAATTTATGCACTTAATGTCAGATACACCCATCACATTAAATCTGGTTAGATGCATGATTGGTAATTAAAAGCTCCATCAACACACTTATAAAATAATCTATTCAAGAGGCACTGGAATTATTAGCTAGTTAGCAAGACTATTACCAACACCCAACCAGTAATCATTGCAGAGAAAATTATTAAACCTTTTAACTTGATAGAAATTGAGCTAAGGGACTCACAAGGACAAGGAATATAGCTTTGGACAAAAGCAGGAACTTAGGAGATATTTTTCTTATTTACTAGAAAGTAGAAAAGAAAGAAAAAAAGTTTTTGCTGCTCAATAACGGGTATCCATAAAAAAAGAAAAATGATTTTCTACCTGACCCAGTCACAGGAGGGGGTCCGCATCCTACTACTGCCCTATAGTAAATGAGTGAATGTAACATTCATAAAACCAAGGGCTTAGAGATCTCAAGATTGAAATGGGAAATGAAAACACCTTGTTTGGAAGAAGGAAAAGTAATGAGGGTCAGACACCTACCTGTGAGAAGGTAGTGGCCAGATAACTGAGGGCCTTTTTTCCTGGCTGCACCTAGTAAAGAGGCAAAAAAGCCCTTTCCTGGGACTTGTGCCAGGTCCTGCAGTCCCAACTCCGGTACCATTGCCTTCCTGCAAATTCCTACATCAAATTCATTAGATTTTATTTCCTGCTGTCTGTATTTTAGATCTAAAATTTATGGGTTGTATAAAATCAACCTTAGATATGAAGTCAGGTCAACAATTAGGCAACAGTTTAATGCTCTAATATAATGAGTGGAATATATCCATACATGCCAAAAGTGTTTTCACTTACAGTCAAAAGTGTTTTTGTATCCCACACTCAATACCAGGAAGCGATCTAGTGGATCCAGTGTGGGACTCTGTTTCAGCAATTGTTGTGAATCTCGTGCTTGGCTAGGTTTATCGTCACAATTTAGGTATGATTTATGACACTGGATACAGAATGAAACTTTTCTGCAGCACTTGAACTGTCTGATTTTCCTTCATCTTTACTTTTCCCAGAAACCTATTACTGTTTATATGTAGGTTTTTCATTCACGCTGTAATGCATTTCTCTTGGTGGATGCATACTAATTAGTTAAATGAAAATGAGCACTGAAAGAGCCCCTGTGACAATCCGGGCAGAAAATGTTATGGGCGCATTCCTGACAGCAGCTCCTACCCATTGCAGTTTGTCCTGGTCTGACCTGGCCAAATAATCTTTTATGTCCTCAAGGGATTTTTTTTTTTTCCAGAGGACGTTGACCAGGGAACATTTAGGATTCAGCTTAAGGAGAGGGCACTGAGCCCTTTAGGAAACTCTTGACAGCCAACAGTGAAGCCTTTAAAGGGAAGTATGAATACTGGCAGATGAGGGTGACATCACAGGAGAGAGACGGGCCCAGAAGCCAATCATTGATAAAGGTGGGGCTGGCTGCTCACCCAATCGGGTGGGCCAAGGGAGGAGGGTCTTCCCAGCGATGGTGTAGAAGGGGTCTCTGTAAGTTCAATGCTGAGATCCTGGAGCTGAGCGCACCTCTAGTTTCTGTGAGTTCTTACTGCAGGCTGCAAAGGATCCTCGGACACCCTCAAGCATCACAATGGTAACTTGATGGTACCGGAGCTGGGAATGGGATGTGTTTGTTTTGGAAGGAAATGGGCTGAACCACTGTAAGCCCAGATGGTCTTTTTGGGCAGCCCCAGGTACAGCTGTGTTTTGAGATGAGCGGTGGTTCGGAGGCAAAACCAGAGTTGTGTCCTCAAAATGACAAAAACTATCATCTGAATTCCATATGTGAGACCTCTCCTTGAATGATATTACTTCATAAACAGAACTCATAATCTCACAACACTGATTTTGGAGTTCCGGAACCAAAATAAGAAATGAGAAGAGCTCCTTGGCTTCCGGAATGCTTTTTCTGTGAGTAGTCAGCTGGCCGGGCACACGTGGCTCTATGGATTTAAAATAGACGTTTATCTATCTATTTATCTTCCTTTTTCTCTTTTCTTTTCTTTTTCATTTTTTCATTGTTTGGATACAGAGTGTATCTGTGTGGCCTGGACCTTACCTCTGGGCCTTCCTCCTCCACCAGAGTCCAGTGTGAGGAGATGACAGGCCTGAGTCACAGCACCCAGAAAAAAGGACTACTTTGAACCCAGGTTCTCTAGCACATTTCCTTAGCCTGTGATGTCTACAGGAAACAGGGTTTAGAGATAAACTGGCTGTTTGTATTTACATTTCTGTTATCTCAGGAGTTTAGTAAGTAGCAGCTGCAAGTCTCCATAGTAGACAGGAATCTGCCTTTTATCGTGGGTGAGAAAATTCACTGCTGGTTCAAAGCCCTAAGTCACTGTCTATTTTGATTTTAATTTTTATCAAACCCATTAATTTAGCAAGTTTTCTGCAGGCCCCTTCCTTAGCTAGTGTCTTAATTATACACTAAGTAAATAAACAGTTTTTTATAATTGAACTACTGAAGCAAGGCTTGTCATAGTTTAGAATGCTGTGAGGTATTTTGGGGGATGGCAATGCATTAGCTCCTGAGGGGAAAGTTCCTGCAGAGAACAACTTCCTGTAGGTGCTACCTGTTAATACTACACTGAGAAATACACCAAACTGGTGTCTCTAGGCAGGAAGAGATGTGATATATAGAGAATGGAAATTTAAATGGGTGTCATATCTGAAAAAATTGCTGTAGCCTTTGGGCTGTGCTTAGACTTTGACCTGCAATTTGCAGTACTTGGTTGGGCATAGTGACAGGTGCCCTTATTCCCAGCACTCAGGTGGCTCATTCTGGAGGATCCTTGCAAATTTAAGGCAATCCTTGGCTATGAAGTGAGCTCAAGGGTGTCCTAAGTTGCATTGTGAGACCCTGTCTCAAAAGACAAAAAAATGTTAAACACTGTGATAGATTTTTGCTGAAGTAGGAGTATACTCACATAGTATATGCATGAGTATTAAAGAATAAAAACAAAAGTTCTTTTTGAATGAGAAGAGCCAAAGACATTGAAAGGAAATGGGAGAGCAGAGGCATGTGGTGGGAGGCCCAATCAGCAGCCAGAAGAGTAAAGGACTTCTGAGGTGAGCTTGACCTACTGTGACAGCACTGAAGGGTTGTCTGCCTGCTAGGTCTGAGAGTAGGAAAAGGGTCAGAGGCCTATAGAAGGGGAGGGAGACATTGTCATAGATCAATATTTCTTCTGTGTCTACTGATCAGCTCCACTCATCATCTCTGAGGTTAGATAGGAAATTAGAACCCTAGTATTGGTGATTTGAAAATATGTTGGACATCATAGCTAAAGTAGCAAGGGAAGTTTTTTCTTTTGGACACCAAAGATTTCAAGGCACATGTCATGTTTCTTATTGTGCAGTGACTGGCCTCAGAAATTTGGCCCTTAGCTTCATCCTCCCAAATTTGAAAAAAAATTTAATTGTTTAACAAATATTTTTATTGCGTTTTGAGATAAGGTCTTACTACTTTGCTAACTTGGCAAGAAGTGTTGCGACTTTGCCAGCACTTGGACTGTTGAGTATGTGCAGTACAAGTTCATGTTCTCTCAGATTTAAAAATGAATTTTAGGAATAGCAGAGGTTAAACGCAGAAGTATTTATTGAGTGAAAGAAAACTTCTGTCTGAGAGAGAGACAGAAGCGTTCTCCGTAGGCTTCTGAAGACTATTTTTTAGGAATTTTTCTGGAATAAAACCATGAGGTGAGGCAAGTGTAAAGCCGGACAAGGTGTAAAGGGAGTTTCAAGCATCATCTACTGTAGTGCAAGGGTTTCAGGTGTGCACTACCTTGCCTGGGTCAGTGTTTTCACTTTTATGTCACCAAATTCCACCAACATATACAGTTTTAGGGTAAAGTAAACAACACTGAATCATGGTGGTGCACAAATTTAATGCCAGCGCCTTGTGAGAGTTAGGAGTGTTTCAAAACTGGCACCACTCTGGATAACTGAGCAAGAGAGTTTTTTGATATGAGATGCACATTGAAGGTTTACATCTATCCTAAATTACCTTTTCTAAAGTCCACGGGACCTTAAATAATAAAGAGAAAATGTTTGCAGTTTAAACTTCTATTAAATTTTTAAGTTGACACAGAATATCTACTATTGATACATGGCACAATGCAAAGTTTATTTGCTCATGTCAGGGAATGCAGAGATGAGTCTCTCATTTCAGAAAAAAGACATCATAGGTGAAGAACCTGTGATTCACAGTGTCCTGCATTCAGTAGGGTACATGTGATAAGTTGTTTTATAAATGTGTCTTTGTTATGTCAGAAATAAAGATCTGAGGATTTAGCTCAGCGCATAAGCACCTGCCTTGCAAGCAGACGGTCGTGAGTTCGATCGTCGGTACCAATAAAAAGTTTAAAAAAAAAAGAAATAAAGATCAAGGCATTTGTATTCAGCACATTGAAAAAATCTAATGCTTAGTGATGGTGTTTGCAATATCAGGCTTGTTTTTGTGCATATTCAATGCATTTTCTTGTCAATAACTTTTACATTGATCAAGTCATTTTCCTTTTGCAACTCAAATGTTACTTTTATGTCAGTCCTTCCAGTCTTCATATTGTCCCCTACACAACACAAGCCTCACCCGGTTGTTTGCAGTTTGGAGAGCTGTTTTCACCTGTTTCTCCTGAGCAGCTCCATCAGGAGAGCAGTACAATCCTGTTTGGATATGTGAATACTGTTGGGGGCATTTTGTGTCGTTGTTTCTCTGGATTTTATTATTATTATTGTACTGATGTGGTCCAATCTGGTCATACTGCTTGACATGTGTTTCCCACATGAGAGGATAAAATGGAAACTTTAAATAGTCAGAAACTGAGCTGAGTGGTTAGCACTATGGTTAAGAGTACACATAACAAGTATTTCTGTAATATATCTTTTAGTGTCATATCTGTAACACAGCATCAGGTTTATAATTTCAGTTGAGTGGTGTGTTTGCCTCAGAAGGATTCAAATGTTTGGCAGTTTCACCTTTTTAAAGAGAGAGGAGTTTCTAAGGTAAATAAGACTTTCTGGAGTACTGACTACATGCATAGTGGTGTGAGCATACAGAAAGAGTTCAAAAAGGTGACTAGAATATGAACGTCACTAGAGATAGAGCACCTGGGGCTACACTCAAGTGGATGGGGAAGGAGACAGTGCACAGGAAAAATGGACAATTCCCATTGAATACTGAAAACGGGCTGCGAATTAAATACACAAATTAATCTCCTTGACATTAGCAATTCACATCTACATGCAATTTTTAAAAACTGGGAATCAAACTCACAATCTCATTGCCAAGGCAGGCACTGCGCTGCTGAGGTACATCATTGGACTTGTAAAAGAATTTTTTCTGTGAGTGCAGAGAGAGAAGCACAATTGGTCATGTAATTATTATAATTCATTGGTAGTGACTGAACACTGTTGAAAAGGACATGCTAAATGATGCACTTTGTGCTTTTTATAGCTGTTTCACGTGTGGTTTTCACATTTGTGAAATTACAGAATGTGAATTGCATGTGGTGTAATGCTGGTAATTTCAGTCCACTTGTTTTTACCTGACACATATTTACATTGGTTTGTATCTGTATTTCAAACCAGAGATCTTGTCTGTGGTACAGTATGTCATAAATTCTACTAAAGTTTTGTTGCAACTATAATTTTTTTCACCATATACAGTGTTACTTGAAAGTGACTACATTTCTATGCAATCCAACTGATTCTCTGCTAATTTTATTTCAGTTGTTATGTCTTTTCTGTGTCCACTGACATCATTGTAGGAAGTTTTACCTCTGGATTGTAATGTATTCAATTATATTAATTACTCAATAATGCCTCTAATACTTTTAAGAGTTTCTTCTTTATTGTTGTTTAGATTCTGCACAAATACAGAGCAATGAAAAAACCTTATTTTCCATGGAGTGATTAACATTTTTATATTGCAGCAGTTTTCTCTAGTGCTGTTTCGGAACTCGGCTCCTGGAGTCTCAGGGATGGGCCTGTTATGGGCAGTGCTGGACCTAGTCTTAGACTTCCCAAAGACTGTGATGAAGAGTACTGATACCATGCCCTCAGCTCACAGACACACTGATGAGCTTCCCTCTGCCCTGTGTTTGCTAATGTTCTGAGATTGAAATCTTTCTTCTTTTCCATACCTGCATTCATTGTTTTTAATATGAGTTGAGGCATCAATTTTGAGTAATTGAAATAATTCCAAATGTACATTCTGTCATAGATTATGAAATCCTTAATCATTTAAGATGTTTTTGAAATGTGTCATTTAAAAAAGTTGTGATTAGATCTCTCATTCTGAGAGTATTCTTAATTTGTTTCTGCTCTTCATTTCTAATTTCATCCCAGTATTGTGTAAGAGCCTGCTGGGCATGGCTTCCACTCCACTGACTACATTACCTTCTGTATTGCTGCTCTGATCCTGGGCCATATGTGTGAATGCTTGGATTTTTGTAAGGCCAGTGTGCTATGTATTTCTGTGATAAAACATTTGATAGAATCCATCTGATATATTGCTTTGAATTGTTATCTTGTTTATTTTATGCGTTACTTTAAAGATTGCTCTGCCTTCTGTCAGTCACTGATTGAGTTGTTTTGAATTCTTAAATATATACTTTAAAAAACTGATTTTTTCCCTTCCAATCCTATTTCTGTTATTGTGGTTTGTTTTTCTTGGGTACGTATCAAGGAATTGGGTACGTATCAAGGAATGATGTTTGTGTTTAAAGAACTGCTGATTGTACATGTGCAATATAGTAAAGCTAATGTAGCTTCAGTAGATTTTGTCGAATGAATGCAACCCAAGTATGTCTTTATGCATAGCTTTCTATTTAATCTATCCTTATCAGTTCCATATAATAACCACTGGTCTCCAGGTGGTTAGAGTATTTGCCCTTTAGCTAGGTGTC